GGATAGATAGGGAAAACCACTGAATTGGGGTCATGAGCAGGCCCCACATAGTGAGAATTGCCTAGATCTGTGCTAGAGTGCCACTGTGGCCCATACAAAGGGTAAAAAAGATCAGACACAGATCTTGCTTGTGCTGAAGTTAATTTTAGTATCATACAGCATGCCAGCCAATACATCTCCTTAGGGCAATCAACTGTCGGCAGCTCATTTACCAACACACTATTGTGAGAACAACCCTGGGAATGTAGCAGTTTAAGAGAGATGAGTGATAAGGAGAAGAGGTGTCTTCTAACTCATAGGCAGGCCTCATCAATCACACGGCTGCAATTTCTCGCACTGATTGCAAGTCTAATGCCAGTGCCCTCTTATCTACACATCCACTGATGCATAGCCTGGACTCAAGGAGTCATGGAAATACAAAACCCCCAAATTAGCATGGCTCTCACACCTCCAGAACACGAAAGATGTTTCTGCTATAGCAGAGGCACAAAGTCTCTTGACTGTGTTTGATTTCAAATAGGAAATAGTGGGTAAAGAATTACTTTTAGGTTTTATCTCTTGGAAAAAGAGAAACACTTACATTAGACTTTTTGATGGCTATTTTAAAACCATCTGTGACAAATATAAATGTTAATTACTCTAAAACCCTGACCACTGATGAACTCAGAGGGGAAATAATCTTTTCTAGCACGGTGTGTGTTTATTCAACCACAGGGCAGCTTTTATGCGCTGGGCAGTGAGTATATCAAAGTGTATCTATTTTTCAGAAACACGCACAAGTTGACAAGGGAAGACTGTCTTCTTCATAAGTGCTATCTTTGACCTTATATGGCTCCCTTCACCAAGATCCAGATGTGGATTTTCAAAAGAGGCAAGACATGTACTTTTGGTTGAGACTTGAAGGTGTGCATATGGGGAAGAAGGTGGGCCCTGAAATACCAAAGCCAGCAAAGATGGCTGGAGTGGTGAGGATTTTAAAATTTGCCTTACCTTCTTCTGTTTTGTTATTCATGGAGAAGAGAGGCTTGACCATCTTTTTTTTTTTTTGGTTTTAGGCAATTGGGGTTAAGTGACTTGCCCAGGGTCACATAGCTAGTAAGTGTCAAGTGTTTGTCCTGAGGCTGGATTTGAACCCAGGTTCTCCTGACTTCAGGGCCTATGCTCTATGCACTGCGCCACCTAGCTGCCCCATTGACCATCATTTTTACACATGTTGGAAGAGACTTATCAGATTGAGTGTTTAAAAGATTTTGTAGCTGTGAGAAAACAGCTTTACATAAAATGTGAGACAGTGTCTCAGGACCAATTTTTGTAAATTCTTTCCACTAGAACTCACTTGGAGGGGTCACACTAACCTACCTATTTTCCCCATAACTGATAGGGGCAACATAGCTCATGATATCTCCCCAGATCCCTCACTCCGTACAGTTTTCTCAGGTTACTATGGACAGGACCTTGCTTGTTTTCAAGACTGACTGGGGAATAGGCTTCTAGCAAACTCACCCCCCAGCCTCACCAGGAAAGTAGAAGGATCATGTGGGCTTCCCTCATGATTATGTGAGAGAAGTATGTTGGGAAAAACCAAGGGAGTCCCAAATAGGAAGGAAGAGGAGGAAGGTGAACTTCTCCAGGGCATGATGGTACAGGCAGATTAAGTCGAGAATGAAGACAGTGAAATATGGTGAGCTCATAGTACAGGTGGAAAGGGGTAGAAAGAAGAAAAATTCCCAAAGTATGAAGGGCAGAGTTTAGAATGATCAGGTTTTACTGGTCCTAGGCATGAGTACAAGTGATATCTATGAACTGGAACCTTAAAGAAAAGGGAAGACAGTCTAGACAGGTAGGCTAGAGACAGAACAGCGATATATTCTTAGAAGATCAGAAAAAGTTACATACACGGGTGCAAGAAACAAAGTATAAGGCACGATTAAGGAATGATCATGTGAGCCAAAGGGTCACAGAAACCGAGCATCAGATGACTCCCATGGGTCACAGGCTGACAATTGACTGGCAATCCTGACATATCCTTCCTCTCCCTGCCATGTTAGCAAATCTGTTTCAGCTCAACTTACAGGTGGCAGCCATGGCCCCTTCCTACCAGAGGCACTATGAAGGATCAGGAATGAGACTCAAGCTTTATTGACACTTTCAATACAAGTGTCATCCTGGATTGAGGCTAAGAGAAAAGAACACATATGGTAAACGGAACATATGTGGGAATGTGGCCAAAGGAGAATAAGGTGAGTCAGCTGCCAGCTACATCCCATTTAAGATCATTCAGACAGGATGGTTTGCAGGTTGTTTTAGGGGTACAGATAGGATTAAATAGGCTAGAGATGGGACTAAAGGAGCCATTAGATTTAACCACATGCCATCAGTATACATACTTAGTGAGAACATTGTCTATTGTCTAAGAAAACAGAGTGAGGCACAATAAAGAATTTTGTGCAGTCTCTATGAAGAAAGGGGGCAAAATTATGCAAATAGACCAAAAGAGGAAATGGGGAAAAAAACATTCAGAGAAGTGTGTGTGTGTGTGTGTGTGTGTGTGTGTGTGTGTGTGTGTGTCTGTGTGTCTGTGTATAAACACTAGGGGAACAAACACCAATGCCAGGTACCACTGTAGATGGTATTTGGAAATCAAAAAAAGGAAGAAGAGTATGAGAGGGGAAGTCAAAGAAAACTGAGGGAAAAGGGAGAAGCAAAATGTGAGTAATCCAAGGGAGAAAAATAGAGAGAATTAAAAAGAATGCTTGGAGAATATAAAATTACACAGGTACAGTGAAAGCACAATTTAAAATTGGAATATATAACATAAAGAGCAGAGTAACAGAAATACAATGAGATCTATTCCAAAGAGATCCAAGAGAAAAAAAAATGGAATTGACATCTTAGGGCCAGGAATAAGGTATGATTTGTCTTTGTATCTCTAGAGTCCAGATTGTGCTGTGAAAACAAAAGTTACTTAAAATGGCTGCTGGATTGCACTGAATTGTATAAACACAAAGAACGTTGCTTGTAAACTGCCTGGGCTTAGTGTTCTTCATACTGATCCACATGGGCAAAGAAAATTAAAGAAGCAGGCTTTGGTGATAGAAACAAGGCAGATATTGGAGCAAGACACATTGTAGGCTTATGGATGTCACTTGGAGTGTAGATGGTGGGGAAGCGGAGATTCACAAATTAATATACTTGCTCCCTGAGGGAAAAATCTATTTATAAAGACACAGAGAACAAGTCATATTGGCTCTCAATGGGACTGAATTATGTGGGGTTGATCATACTGACAGTCAATTTCACAGGAATAATTGATGGTACTTGGTATTATAAATCAGTAAGCATCTATTATGCACAAACTATTGTAAGACAAGAACTATGCTTGGCTCTGGGGATACACTGGTAAAAACAGAAATCTTTTTCCTTAAGGAGCAAACCCAGCACTGAGGGTCCATAGCACATACCAAGGATGTAAGTACCAAGAGTACACAACATAATGCTGAGAGGGAGAGATTGGTCTTTGGGGAGAGTAGGAAAGGCTTTGTGTTGGAGGAAGCCCTAGCTTGTACTTTGATGGAAACTTGGAATCTTAGGAGGTAGAAGTGAGGGACCAGGGCATTCTGCATGTGTTTTAGAGCAGGATGCCATGCTGGTTGTAATGCTCAGCATAGCGCTCAAAGGATACAAGATGAAAATAACCCTGATTGTGGCACAGAACATGTTTTGACAGACATGCCAAGCTCAGTGGAGGATGGAGCAGGAAGCCCAGAACCTTGTGTTAAAATCACACCAGATCCCTTACAGTAAAGTTTTCAGCGCAGGCTGATTGGTTTGGACAAAAACAGTCATTCTCCAACTCCAGTGGCTTGGTCACTGTCTATGTAACATCCCAAATCATGCAAGTGTACCCATCTGTGTCTGTGTGTGCATTAAAAAGATTTCAATTTGAGGAGATTAAACCCTCTATTACAATGTGCCAGTACTTTAGTGAACAGTAATAATCTTTCTCTGTTCTCCCTCTCCCCCCTCAACCCCGGTCTTTGTGTTCCTGTACTTGATTGGCAAACTGAAGAATGTAGACCCCATACACGAATATGGTGTTATAACTGATGGATCACAGAGCAATGAACCAATACAAGGGAGCTGAATAGCTGAGTTCTCACCTGTGGGACTGGATTACTCACGGCACTGAAGGAGTTCTGTTAGCCTGTTCACACCTGAAAGCTGGTTTGTTGGGGGTGAGGGAGGAAGTGTGTCAGGAGAAACTTTTATCTCTTTATTGATTGATTTTTAGCATATAAGCTCCTGGCTAGCAGGGATTTCTTTTTCACTCTTTGGACTTATCTCCCCAGCATGTAGGTTTGTGCCTGGCACATAGCAGTTGCTTCATCAATATTTGTTGGTTGATTGTTGATTTTTAAATATCTTTAGTGTCTCTTGTAGAAAGAGGATGTCCATTAAAGTTCCAAACATATTCTACCATGATAAGACTGACTAAATTGCTCACTGCAATGCACTTGGAAGAAGTTGTGTCCCAGGAATTAGCCTGGAGCTCACATCCCTTTCTCTGGTTGTTAGATATGACATCCCTCAATCACACATTCCTTGACTAAATTTAAGTAGGTCCTTAGTTAATGTTTTCTGAGTGATTGACTGACTGACACATCTTGTCCCTAACAATACAAGAAGGGAGCACCACTCCACTGCCTTGCTAAAAAGTGGACTTTGTCCAGTTGAGACACATGGAGTTTTTCCAGTGTTATACTTTTACCTAATGGCAATTCAACACAATTGAAAACAACACGCATTTTTTTTTTTATCACCCATGACATGCAAGGCACCATGCTATCAGAAAACCACTTCACAGATTAGAAGAGCTAAGGAGAGACATCCTTGCTACTAAAAACAGTAACAACAACAACAACAACAACAACAAAAGCCCAAGCTAGCAAATGATTCTCACTACCTGTGAGAGGAAGGCATAGCTATGACCGCATACATACCTTTCGGGAATGGATTTCTTTCACATACAATGGAAGTAGAAATTCAGATATACCTTCCAGTCGGATTCCTTCCTTGGTGACTCTCAGATTTCCCATCCCATCCTATAAGCAATGAAATATATTTCACTTTTAGCGATGACTACAGAATGAATATCCATCAACATGATTGCATGCTAGTTGAAAGAAAGCATGGAGCTGACATCATTCAGGACAAGATTAAGAGGAAAGAACAAATCTGTTGAAAGTAAAATAGGTCATATTTCACATAGATGGAGAATTCCAGGGGAAAGCACACAGGATCAGTAGACCTGGGGTATTTTCCAGTCTCTATCAAGGATACAGCTATGTGACTACAGAAAAATCAGGTAACGATAATCGCCACCCAATTAAATGAGGGGATTAAAAAAGTGTCAAATCCGAAACATAAACACAATCTTTTATTTAGGCAGCTAGGTGATGAGTTGGATAGAACATTAGACTTGTAGTCAGGAGGACTTAGACTGAAATTCTGCCTCAAATGTTTACTATCTGTGTAACCCAGGACAAATCACTTAAACTTTGGTCTTCAGTTTACTTGTCTGTAAAATTAAGGGTTGGAGGTGATAGTCTCTAAGTTTCCTCTCAGTTCTAAATCTGTGATCCACTGATCCTATGCATGTTATGAGGGAAGAGCAACAAGAAATCTAATATGGCCAGACCAAAGACAATATGGAGGAGAGTAGCATAGAATAAGGGAAGACAGAGTCAATCAGGCAGTCAATATTTGTTAAGCATCTACTATGTGCTGTTGAAGCCAGACTATGAAGGGCTTTAAATGTCAAGCTGAGTATTTTGTATTTGATCATAAAAGTAACAGAGAACCACTGGAGTTTACGGAGTGGGAGAGTGACAGAGATCTTTGCTTTAAGAATATCACTTTGGCAGCTGTGTGGAAGATAGGAGAGAGAGAGAGAGAGAGAGACAGAGAGAGAGACAGAGAGAGAAGAGAGAAAGGGAGAAAAGAGAGAGAGGAGAGAGAAAGAGACAGAGAGAGAGAAAAGGAGAGAGAGACAGAGACAGAGACACAGAGAGAGACAAAAAGAGAGAGGAAAAGAGAAAAGAAGAGAGCAGAGAAGAGAAGAGAAGAAAGAGATTTCAGGCAGGCAGATCAATTAGGAGGCTTGTGCAATTTGTTGTTATTGTTCTGTCATTTCAGTTGTGTTTGACTTTTTATGACTCCATGACCCCTTGGGGTATTCTTGGCAAAGAGACTGGAGTGGTTTGTCATTCTCCAGTTCATTTTATAGATGAGGAAACTGAGGAAAACAGAGTTAAGTGACTTGCCCAGGGTCACATAGCTCATAAGTGAGGCTCAATTTGAACTCAGGTCTTCCTGACTCCAGGCCTGGGGCTCTATCCACTGTGCCACCTAGTTGTCCATGTGCAATAGCCCAGACAAATAATGAGGCTTTGAACTAGGTTTGTAGCTATTTGAGTAGAGAAAAGAAAATAGATGTCAAAAAATGCTGCCAAAGTGAGATCACCAAGATTTGGCAGCAGACTGGCCATGTGGAGGGAGCAAGTGGTGATTGAAGGACAAATCCAAAGCTGTCAAGCTGGATGACTGAAAGCACAGTGGTGCCATTGAAAAAAGTAGAGAAGCATAAAAGAGGGATGGCCTTGGGGGAAAGAAGAAGTTATATTTTTGAAATATTGAGTTTAAGAATCCTACAGGACACCTAGTTCAAAATGCCCAATGCTGGTGATGCAGGACTGGAGCTCTGGAGGGAGACTAGGGTTGGATAAAGAATCCTACAGTCATCTTCAGAGAGACTGTAATTGAATCTATGAAGCTGATGATGGCTAAAGACAGAAAGCATGTCTAGAGTTCCCTGAGGTTGTGAGATGTAGAGAAGGGGAGAAAAGGGAACTCCCAGCAAATGGCTTCTCTTTTCTCAGGAAACTACAAGGTGAGGTTCTCTGCTGAGAATGTCTGGGGATGCTTTGGTGGAGGTGCTTGAAGAGAGAAGACAGAGTTTGCAATAGACGTAGTGGGGAATGAGAGAGGGTCTCAATTAGGAAGGTGCATCAGCTGGTATGGAACTGAAATGTCTCCTCCCTGAAGGTTACGTAAGTGGGCACATGAAACCCAAGCAGGTTCCAATGTCTGATTACTCGAATGCCTTAAGATGTGTGTTGTGGGGTTGCCATGGAAATGCTTCATCTTTGACCACTGCCACTCACCTCTCTATCTCTGTCTCTGGCACATACATAATAATACAGGTGCCCTGTTAATAACACAACAGAGGTGGGAGATTTGAAAGTCACCTCCTGACCACACCCCTGTGAGGGAGGTGTCATTTTTCATCTTTGGCAGATGAGGAAATTGGCTCAGAGGGCAGAAGGGACATGCCTAAAATCACCTAGCAACTAAGAGGCAGGAGATTTGATCATGAATATCTCGAAAACCACAGAAAAGCAGAAAAGAAGTTGATTTTGAACAAAAGTCTCTTTAGAAGGATGGATTTAATGCCTACAAAATCACAAATGTGATAATGTGGCTATATATGAAGTTATTCAGTGGATTCCAGGACCTTTATAAGCCACTAGCTTACCAGTATCCTTCCTAAATTAAGGAGCTGAACTCTATCCTCCAGAGGTCATCCACCCAAAGCCCAGGTAAGGGAAACTTTACCTCCTTTATCCTGGGGGCACCCATGCCCTTCCTAATACATCCTAATATGCCATTAGCTTAAGAGGCTGCTGATTCAAAGTGAGTTTATGGGTCACTAAATACCTTCATGTTTTTTTTTTGGCACAAATGCTATAAATTTACATCTCTCCCATTCTGGGCTTGTGAAATGGCTTTTTTGAAACCAAAGGTAAAAGTTTGCATTTAGCTCAAGAAAATTTTATTCATTATTCACAACCTTTTGATGATCATGACCTCAGGAGTATAATTGGATTATGCATTCATCCCCTCCCCCCAGCTCTTACAATTTGCACTCAAGGATGCTGTGAGCAAGAGAAGAGAATGAAGCCAGGCTGCAGGCCCTCACGTGGGCCTAAAATGAGGAATCACAAGAGTAAAGACCCAGATTTCTAAAATGTTTGAAGGTGGACAAAGAAGCAACACACATCCCAGATTCATAGCTAGAGAGCTGAATGGGACAAGGTCATCAGCTCCCCCACTCTCCTTTTGAGATGGGGTTATTTGAATTCCTGATTTGATATTTAGTTAATTTAGGTCTATTAGTTTTCTGCAAACATTTATCCATTTCACATATCATTTTGGCTTCTAATCAGATAAAACGATTTCCAATAATTTCCTTTATTTCTTCTTCATCTGCTGTGAATTCTCTTTTTCTGTTCTTCAATTAAATAATTTGTTTTTTGTTTTCTTTTTACAAATCAAATTAGCTAATGCTTTATTCCATTCTATTTTAATATTTGTTTAAAAAGCTTTTAGTTTTCTTAATAAATTCCATTTTCTATTTTCATTTTCACTTTCTTTTATTTCTTTCTTTGATTTGCAGAATTTCTCATTTTGTGTTTCATTATGTTTTATTTGATGCTTGCAAATGTTTCAGTTGCACATCCAATTAATTGAACTGTTCATTCTCTTTTTTGTTGATAACAATGATTAGAAATAGAACATTTCCCCTCAGGATTATTTTGGCTACATCTCAAAAGGTCCACTGTATTACTTCACTACCGTCATTTTCTATAATAAAATTATTTAATATTTTTATGGTTTGTCTTTTCACCTATAGATTAAAAAAAACTATTAAGGACTAGAAAATCATCAGTATATGAATACTGGCTTACACAAAGAAGGCTAAAACAAGGGAATTCTCTCAGGAATTGCAACTACTATAGACAGTTTGTTCCTTTTAATATGAATTCAATTTTTGTGTGGAAGTATCAACATTGACCTAATTGTGTACTCCTCTGACATTTCTCATCTCTTCTGAGAATTTAGAAATGTTTAATCGACTCCTTTCCCTGTCCTTTTTTTTCATCATTATCAATAACCCTCCAAATTCCTATCTCCACCTCGTGAAAGCCCTGCCTTGTAACCAAGACGGAGTCAAGCCAAATTGATTTTTGCAGTAATGATTGTGTCTGGAAGTGCATGTCTCATTCTGAGCCAACAGTCCATCATATATCCACCAAAAGGTGGGTCACATGCTTCATCCTCAGTCTTCTGAGGCTCTGATCATTGCATTGATCAGAGTTCTTAAAGTTTCAGATGTTTTTTTTTTTATTTTTACACAACATCTGAGCTACTGTTCATGTAAATAGTCTCCCTGGTTCTGCTCACTTCACTCTGCATCAGTTTATACAAACATTCTCAGGTTTCTCTGAATCAATCTGTTTCATTAGTTGTGGCATAATAACCGTTGTATATATATACTGTAATTTTTTCAGCCATTCCACAATTGAAAAGTTCTCCTTTATTGCAAGTTCTTTCATGCAACAAAAAAGTGCTGCTACTCCTAGGTTTTTACGGATATGAGTTCCTTCTCTCTTTCTCTGTAGTATATGCGCAGTAGTTTCGTCTTTGGCTCAAAGACTATGCATGCTTCAGTGGCTTCCTGTTACCTCCAGGATCAAATACAAATGGCTCTGGTATTTACAGCCATTTCCAAACTGGCATCCTCCTTTTTCCAATCTTCTCACACTTTCCTCTCCTCTATTTGCTCTATGATTCAATGGGGCCTTCTTGCCATTCCGCACGCACCCCATTTACTGATTCTGTGCATGTTCACTAGGCTGCTCTCTGTGCCTGGGATGCTCCGCACCCCTTACTTTTCTCTTAGTTTCTGTGAGCTCCTTTAAGACTCAATTTATATCCCAATTTCTACACAAGGCCTTTCCCAGTCCCCCCTAGTGCTCCACTGCTAACCCTCTAACATTATCATCTATTTAGACTATATATGTCTAGCATGTCCATGTGCATATTTGTGTGTGTGTGGTATCACCCCCACTAGACTGTGAGATCCCAGAGGGCAGAGACTATGTTTTCTTTTTTTTTAACTTTATTTGAATCTGCAGTACTTAGCCCAGGGCTTGGCACATTGTAAGCACTTGAAAAAGTGCCTGTCAGCTGACTGGTTTGA